GCATGTACTGACCCCCTAGTCCCAGCATTACCCTGGCCCCCTGTTCGTGCAGGGACGTATGAGACTATGAAGTTCTCTCCTCCTGGCTTTCCCTAGCCTCAGCTCTGTGGTTCTCTCTTTCCAACTATCAGTGGATTTTAAGCAGAAGGTAGGTGTGGGGCTTTGGGTGGGAGGTGGGTGGGAGGGAAGATGGATGGACTTTGAGCAGCTTAAAATAGAAGCATGTGCTAAGTGCCTTCATCAAATTGTGGCTTATGACAACATCACTGAGGTTGAGACAGCCAGCATTTGAGACAGGACTCACGACAAGTCTACATGAAGTACATAAAAGTCTGGAATATTCCAAGTGAGCGCACAAGACAGCAAGGGAATCACGATGCACAAAGTTACCAAGTCAGCTGCAAAAACATAAAACTCAAGCATTTGAGAGTGATGCTTGGCAATGTTTGAGGCGTCAAGCAGAAGTGAGATGCACTAGGCAGGGGGCTGAAATGGTCACAGCACACAGTGGGCCAAATCATGCACACTCCAGGCATTAGCAGTGCTCACCTTTACTCTCTAGCATTTCCCAAAGGAAAGTGCAGCAGCAAACATTGGGGATTTTTTTAAGATTAGGAAGGGGAAAGAAAACAGGAATTGGTAAGTCAATACCAAACCATAAACAATAAAAAAAAAAGTTTAAAGAAACAGCAAAGTTGTACTGGATTTTGGGAGGAGATATCAAAGAATGGTCTACTAGCAACTACTCTTACCCTAGAGCTATTGCTCAGGTGTAAAGACCAGGCAGAACTGCCTCCTAAGGAACCAGCCTGTCAAGCCTTAGCAGGTCATGCATAGCTGTGCTGCCCTGAAGAGGAGTCCATAAACAGAGCTTTGCTTCCCCCACATCAGGTAGGAGACTAGGATGCACTCAGTAAAGGCCTGCAACAAGTCACCCCTGGCCAGAAACAAAAAAAGAGCAGGGAGGAATCACAATGCTCTAGGGCTCCTCTTGGGGTGGCATAGCTGTGGATCACCTCCATATCCAGAGCTGGGAAAAGTGGCACAGACTCAATGGAGGTGGAAGAATCCTTTGTCCAATAGTGTTAGAGTCTGATGTTGCTTTTCATCAAGAAATCTTACTTTCAGCTCTTGAGGTATCATTTTACACCTGGGGAAACTGAGGCATGGAGAGAGGAAGCGACTTGCCCTAGGTCCCCTGACAGGCAGAGTCAGAAATTGAAGTCAAGCTACTTGAGTCTCAGTTCAGTGTTCTAGCCATTAGGCAGCACTTTCTCTTTGCAACAAGTCCCTTAAAGCACCTGCCAAAAGATGGGAGAGCGAGCAGAGAGGAAGCACATTCTAGGCTATGTCACCAATAATTGTATTACTTCAATAACAGCTCTAAATGAAATTATTTTCCTTGAAATGCAAGAGCTTCTTCAAAGGCTGTCTGCCCCCAGGGACTGTCCATGTCATTTAAAAGCTTCTACTAAGTTCAACACCATGGTACCACCAGCTGATCTTGCAGGCAGCCTGAGGGAGTTAAGGCAAGTCAGACCTTCCTTGAAAACATACGATTACACTGCAGAAACTCTTCCCTCAAGTCTTTGCTTAGCTTTGGCTTTATCCATTTAAAATAAAAAAGTAGTTTGTCCCTTTTCACTCAGGGATCTGACCATGATTTCAGTACAATGAGAATTGAAAGACTCCAACAGATTATCCATGAGATGGAATGAGCACCCAGGTGGACTAGCATGGGAACTGGGTATAGCTAAGGGAGGAAGAGCCTACACAGCCCCACACTCACCCCCCAACAAAGACTCTCCCCTCACTCCCTGCTTCCCTCTCAGGCAGAACACAGAAAGGGTCTGGCTTTCCTTCAGAGGAGAGAGGCAGGTGCTTTCAGTCAAAAGCATTTATAAGCAGAGCTGCCCACACCTACCTGACACTGCAGCTCATATTCTTTAATGATCTTGGCAAAGCGCTCTTCTTGGTCAAGGAGCTCTGTGCTGTGCGGATCTATCAGGCCCAGCTGCAAGGAAAGAGGAATTACTAGAAATGCTTCTAGCTGGGCATCACCTCCTCAGTCCCCTCTGTTGAGAATAAATGTCAGCCTCAGGTTATAACTCCTAAGTCTAAGTGCTAGGCACCTGAAGACCTGATGCACCTTACTGAGTTTGAGGTACCTCAGCGCAGGTTCGGGGCAAGAAGACATCCCAGTACCTGGTCCCTTGGCCATCTTCTTATGATATTGGGTGATCCCTATTTTGCATCAGTCTTCAGCTAGTGGTTCAGTCATCTGGCTGTTAGGTAAGTGGCTAAGACTTGTAAAAGCCTGGGATGTCAGGGAGAAACTGATTGGTATTGGGCAGGGGATCAGGGGAGAAAGATGGAAAAGAACAAAGTTAGAAAATGAGAGGGAAAAGAAAAAAGTGGTGTGCAAAGACAAGCAAAAGAAAGATCCATCACTATCTGCAGTAGGAAAGGTGATACAGAACACAGATAGGACATAACCAAGTGGAACACTGGTATTTTCATGTTGGCTAAGAGGCATCAGATCCACTTTCCTAGCCCATTATCTCCCCATACTCCTCTCTGTGGCAGAGAAAAAGGAGTGCAGAGCTTTTTTTTGACCAAAGTGGAGAAAAAAATAAAAGTTTCCTTTGGAAGATTAGGTATTAATAGAAATGTCTGGATTTGGGACAAAATGATTCTGTATTTTTAATGTTTTTTTAATGGGAATTTTTCAAAACAGATTACTGAAGTTCAGTATTTCACAGCACATTAATTTCTGCCCACCCAGCCTATTTTAAGGTTTCCTGTGAAAGACGCCTCGTGTTTTCTGACCTGTACTGGAACATACTGTGTCTAAAAGAAGCAAAGAGTTACTTTGTCTTTCAACAGGAAGTCCAGCTCCTTCTGCAGCTTTGACACCAGTTTCTCTGAAGCAGACAGTTTTTCAACCACTTCCATGATCTCATTCTGTAACCGACTGTTTTCCTGAGAAGGAAGAAATGTGGGAAGGTTTGATCCAGGCCAACTGTATCCAGGGCAAGACAGGCCCTGGCACAGAAACTCTCAACTGTAAATTTTTAAAATGACAGGCTCGGGAGCCAAGCCAGGACCTAGCTGAAATTGGGAGCCAGTTCTCCTTCTCCTCCCCACAGCAGGAACACTGCAGCAAGAAGCAGACAGCTCTCAGGATCCTGCAGGTCACTTCCAGCTCATCTCTTGAGAAGCAGAGCAGCCACATGCACTAGGCTAAATCAAGCTGCTTAAAATGCTGAGCAGACAGCACTTAGCCACCCCAGTGTTGAGGGTAATACAGGATGCAGCGTGGAATAAAGTTACTGATCCTGCACCTGTTTTAGCTATTAAGTATACAGAGACCATGAAAGCAACTTACTATGTGGACCCAGTGCTGAGCTGTTTACAGTGTTATACCAACATCCTGACATGGGCACCATATTGCTTTACTGTGATCTGTTTAGAGCTGCATGCAGAAGTGCATGCAGATGTGCATGCAGATAAGGAGAGTGCAGCTAGGAATCCCATGCTGGTGCTCAAGCGGAACAGCCCCAGAGAGGACAGCAGGGCCCAGGGGCCTGCTTGTGCAGAGCAAGACTCATGGCCTCATTACGTTGGATGCTGTGTACACATGGAGCTGTGTGTATAGCCAAAGGGCTGTGAGCAGGAAGACCTGTCTCTGCACAACAGCCTGAGTTACAAGGGCCAGTATGAGCTTGAGTTTTTGGTTTCGCAGCATAGGGGGACAGCTGGGGGTGAGTCACAAAGACATCAAGGACCCAGGATGAAGGGACATGCCCTCATTAAAACAGCCTGGGAACAAATTCGGTTTGGGGCTCATTCAACCCAGAAAGTATCTGGAACAAAGCTATTTAAAAACATATTTAAATCAGACAACATAGGTGGGGAGAGGAGAGGTGGTTCCATACTGCACTGGAAGACAGAAATATGGGCTTGTTTCCATCAGGGCAGATACTGAGCCCTGCAGCCTGGAAGCCCGACTCTGGCTGTGACCTACTGCACTTGCTTTACAGGGAGACATACACTCGCTCAGATCCATGCTGCATTGCTTCCTAAGCCTGCAACCAAGTGCAACCCCAAGGTAAGGAGGCTGCTCATGCTCTACAAGGAGCTGCAAAATGTGTAGAACAGGGCCATCCAACGTCAGTGCAGCTGGGGGCCCCATGCTGCGTGCGTTCCCCCAGAATCTCTCCCTCTGTAAGGGCTGTACCAGCAGCATGCAGCCCTCTAACCACCACCATGCAGGCTGTGCTGGTAGCACATGGCCCCTCCTCAGGTCCTGACCCTTCTCTGCTGCATGGCAATATGTGGCCTATGGGTCCCAGCCTAACTGCTCATGCACCACATGTAGCCCACGGACCACCAGGTGGACAGCTCTGATGTATGAAAATCCATCTTGATAGCCCATTATCTTCTAACAGTGTTTTTGGGAGAGCCCAGGGATAGTGTACATCTGCCCAGGATATTATATGAAGGGAAGGAAATGACATGAGTCTTTCTATCCTGTGCAGACTCCCAGCCCTGTACCATTCAAGCCCTTGCCAGAGATGTGGTTAATGGCCACCACAGGTAGGGCTTCTCCCCCTGCAAGGGAGAACTGTGTATACAGGGAAGTCATTTTGGTTTTAAAATGACACGCACTTGTTTTCACCTCCTCTCCCCCACTTAGCAATGCTATAGTTCCCCCTCACAGCCAGCAGAAAGACCCAGCTCACAGACAGGAGGACCAAGAGTTTCTCCATTAGGAGGTGGCAAAGTCCACTGACCCAGCTGAAACACCACAGCCATGCAACCAGCAGCCCCAGTGAGCTGGTGGAAATTCCTGACCTGGGGAATGTTTTACCTTTATGGCTAGAGTCAGCTTCTCCCTCAGGCTGGCCTCCTCATCTTGCAGGAATTGTATATCTGCTTCTAGTTTGGCTTGCTGGTGGGTTACTTGTTGCACAAGCTGCTCTTTTTCTGTCTCCACTTCAGATTTAATATGAATCAGCTTCCCTCTGTAGTCTTGTTCTAGGGCTCTGGAATAGACAAGAAACACTGCTTGGGGTAGAGCTGAAAGCTGAGCAATGGGTAGGGGACATGGGTCCAGTTGATGTAAAAAAGAAGGGTGGGAATTTCCAGACCCCACAAGCAACTGAGGACCACAGTCCCCAACAGTTTTCACTGGGGCTTGTACTCCTAAGCCACTTAGGTGCGTTAGAACAGCGGGGGGCAAAATTTTTGGCAGGTGTGCCACAGATTAGCCTTGCACTCTCCACAAGTGCCACTCTAATCTTCCTCTGCTTGATCTGCTGCTCTGCTTTCTGCAATTAGGTTGGATTTGCAGAGGACTTTAGAAGTGAAAAATCAGCATCTGGAGTATAATTACATTCATTGTTGATCAGAAATAGAAAGTGGGGAGAACACCTCAACATAAAAGATTCAGACACTGGTGAAAGCAATGCTGAGGTTTATTGAAATCAAAGCTCTCTCTCTCTCTCTCTCATCTGCTGCTCTGTTTTCCACTTCCTACTCTGTGGTAACTACCAAATTTGCTGCTTTTCTTCCTGCTCCATCTCTGCCCCAATCTGCTGAGAGACATGCAGGGGCTGCCCCTGCCATTTACAGCACCTGTGACACAGGTTGGCCACTCCTGATTTAAAAGAGCCACCTCATTCGTGCTTTCACCTACAGCTGCAGAGGACCATCAGGTCATGCAACGTGACTGCCTGTCTATCACAGTGTAGAAAGCTTCATCCTCTACTGAGCCAGAATTTTCGCTTGGCTAAAATGTCCCCTTGGTGAAAAGCAACATGACCAGCATCATGCAGGGAGTCTTAGGCACAGCTGCCAACTGACCTCCCAAATTCGTGGGTTCCATGGACAGACTCAGCCATCAGCTCCAACCCCACACCGAATTAGATGCCTTCCTGGTCCCTCTTAGAAGCTAAGGAGGCCCAACCTGAACCTGTTGTTATCTCAAGTATCACTGGCTGCATCTAATGAAGAGCTGTCTGAAGCACAGTCAACAGTGCATTTTTGCCTTTCCTAGAGTGGACAATGAGAAAAATCATTGTGTAATTTTGTTTTCGAAGCTCTAGAAAACCAGCTGAGCATGCAACGAGCTGCCTGACTAGGTGGGAGCTTAGGCTATAACATCAAGGTGGACAGACCCTTTTTTATGGGTCACTGCTCATGTCATTGAGTTAATTTCGCCTCCTGGAGGTAAAAACAGGCCATGCTCTGCTGAAGCAAAGGGATCAGGGAAGTTGAACTCCTGCCGATACCAGCTTAGGAACTGCCCCACTGTACAGCAGGATGCGTCTCTCATCAGCCATTTCTGGGAGGGCCCAGCCCTTCCCCCCCATACTTGAGCTTGTTCTCATTGCGGTGTTCTATGGCAGTGTGATGGTCATCCACTTCCTTGACAAGCTGCAGGTTTCGTTTTTCAGCCTTCTCCAAGTCCAGCTTCATTTTGTCTCTCTCCCTGGAGATCTGCTCCACCTGAACCCTGCAGACACAAGCAGGCAACACTGACTGGATGTTCAAGGATTTCCCAACACCCAGGGAGCAGCATATAACAGCCCAGATGGGTAAACTGTGGAAGCTCTGCACTTATGTCTCACCCCTTGCACAAAACTGAAGTGAAGAGGAGCCTGTGGCTAGAACTCTAGAACACAGGCCTCCCACTCACAAGGACACAGAAAAGTAGGACTCCTTACTCCAAGTAGCGCAGCTCATGCTTGAAGGAGGCAAAGGCAGCCTGCTGAAGGCCACTCTGGGAAACCATCAGCTCATTGTCAAAGGCTAGGGCCAGCTCTGACAGGCTCATCTTCTCTTCCATGCTGAAATCCAAGCTCTGCAAAGAAACAACAGCTCCCTGAAGTCGCTTTGAAAAGATCTCTTTCCTTAGGACTTACGGATCCTAACTGCCACACTCTAGCCAAGCACCTCTCAATCATTAAAGGGCACTTCCCTTCTTCACAGTGGTGAGGAGGCAGGCTTTGGATGTTGTAGCACTGACCCAAAACCAGAGCATGACAACCCCAAATTTCAGAATGCTAGGAATTATGGAAAAAAAAGGAGTTAGCTTAGAAACAGCCTTCAGGCCTTTACCCATGGCAGGGTTCCAAGCTGAACTACCTGCCTTTCTGCTGGAGGGAGACAGGAGTATCCTTATGCAGTATAAGGAAAAAAATAACTACATCTAGAGCTCTTGCACAGCAACAATCCAGGCTGCTTGCACTAGTCTCCAACACAGCACAAACTACATCCATGCTCTGGCCTGCTACATAGAGTCATTTCTGCCCTGCCCTCTGGATGATAGAAATCCTACCATAGGCCTGACCTCTCTTCTCACCCATTCTCTCTGGGCAGGATGCTTGCTGGAAGGACAATTCATTTTAAATCTAAGGCAATATTTGAAACCTTGAGGATCTCCTTGCAGTTTTCCACGCCTTCCTGGGTCCAGATGGAGATAATGAGCTCAGGACTGACCAAGCCGCTGCCATCATCAATACTGGAAAAGAGATGCAGACTCTCTGGGTGGGTAAGGAAAGAAGGAGCTGCAGTTCTATGTCCAGTTTCTTCAGATGCCTGAGAGCCAATAGAAAAAAGAAAGTCAGCTGAGAAGAGAGGTTCAATACAAACAACAAGGACAGATTTCACTACTGCAGGAGGTCATCAGCACATGGCACATATTGCACAAAAAAAACTCTAAAATGCCTGTGCTAAGAATTGGTATGATCTAGTTGCTGGAGGCCAGGGAGGTCCAGGTTCCAGTCTTGCTGCTGCCACTGTATCCAAAACACCAGCATGGGCAAACTATCCATGGCTAAACTCTCAACCATCTAGTTTGAGTTTTGAACACTCATCCTTGGGCACCAAGAGTTGGACTGTCAGACACACTGAGCATCTGCAGTGCCAAATAAACTCAAAAGGGAATGGTGACTGTTCCACAAGTCACCTGGGAGGCACTGAGAGTTGGGCACCCAGAAATGGTGCCACACGAAGTCCAAGGTTGCATTTAAAGTGTCCAGCTCTTTACCTCTGTGTGAGTCCATATCCCCAGATGTTTTCTATGGATGACAGTGACTGCCTCCATCACAAAGGTGTGGGGAGGATCAATTAGGCTGGCTTTGTAGAATACTGTGGAAGTGCAAGTCAGTGGTAGCATAACTACATTCTCAGCTGTCTCAGAAGTGGAGGGTGGGGAGAACACCCTGTCATTAGATTAAGACATTGGTGAAAGCAACTCAACCCTTTGCACTCCTGAGGCTGATCAAACTCAAAGCAGTTTAATCCAAAGGGCCCAGTGTTGATCCCTATAAAGCCAGTGCAAAGCAGACAGCTTGTGAAGGAGCACACCAAGGCACCTTGTAGAACTCTGGTGGTTTCTCCTGGGAGCCTGAGCCAAAACTGCCCTCGCTATTGTGCTGTGGGCCAGACAGTCATCTCCATTCTGGCTGCACCCTACTGCAGTTAATTTGCAAGCACCCTGGGGCCAAAAAGCACCACACATTAAATGTTTACTGCCAGAAAGGAAACATCTATGGAGCTAATTTTCAAGCACTACAGGAGACCTGTTTATCAACACGAGGGCAGAGCTGTCAGAAGTCCTGAAGATGACGTCAGAATTAGAACAGTTATTCCCATCTCCAGGGATACGGCATTTCCCTTCTCTTTCTCTCTCTGATGAGCTGGGAAGCAGCTGGCTGATGCTCAGCAGAGAAGTATGTAACCCAAAGCCATGTCTTTCCTTCACCCTTAAGTGCCAAGAAGGGAAGCACCTCCCCATAGCAGCAGGCAAAGTCTGGATTGCAGCACACTTGGGAGGGAAAAGTGAAAAGGATCCCAGAGGCTCCTGGCAGCAGGAGGAGGAAGGTAGAAATGACCCTGGCAGAAAAATAGTTGCTCTGTTTAAATCAACTAAATCTTGCTCAGAAGCACAGAACACAAGTTCCAGCCTGTCCACCCTTGCCCTGTGAAACATGATGCTCAGAATGAACTCTTTGCTCAGCCACACGTCAGAGAACCTGCTTGAGACTAAATGAGAAACTTTGTTAATAAAAGCTAACAGGCAAGGAAAGAGCTAGAGAGAACTGAAGACGTGAAAAGCCAGATTCCTTTTACAGTGGTAAATCCAGTGGCATGCAAGGGGGAGGGGCTGCAGGAGACCCAGCATCTTTCTAACCAGGCTGCAACCACCCTATTCTATATAAGTAGGTAGAACTGAGACTGGGAAGGCCCTCTGAACCCTCCAGCCCAGACTGCGCCTGTGACCGGCAGGACAACCAAACTGCTAAGTATGAAGGCTGCAAAGCTACATATGCATCGGTGAGGCAATTTGGAGGGCAGAGCTGCACATTTAACACTGGGACGTGGCCAGCTGGCACAAAGGCCAAGAGGTGGGGAAAGTACGGAAGCAGCTTTCCCCTCTCCTTTGGGTCCAGCCCACCTAGACATACTCAACCCATCCACTGTCTGAAGGGAAGTGAAGGGGGAGATTCTATCACATTAAGGAATCTTTCTGGGAGCACAAAGGGGTTGAAATGCCCCTGAAGAGGGCAGTTGTATCAGTTGATAGAATGGCCATGTGACAGTCCCACTTTCAGGCTTAGTGACAAACCCAAGGAAGGTCACAGGGGAGGGTAAGGCTGGAACATGCTGTCCTCCGGCTTGCCAATTCCAATGGATTGGCATCAAAGCCCTCAGCTCAGATGGTGATGGTGCCTGCCTCACCTGGCAACGTGGCCACTGCCAGGGCTGCTTGACAGGAGTGGAGCAAACAGGAAGAGAAATGGGGCTACAGGTGAACAAGCCAAGCTGGAACTCCTTGAAGCTCACTCTGCCATCTCCATCCCTGTCCAGCTCCTTAAATAAATCTTCCAGCTCCTAAGGCAGAAGGAAAGAAATTATCATCACACACCCCAGACCCACAGAAGACAGATTCAGTAAATGAGAAGAGAACACCACTTTTTTTTTTTTTTTTTAAACTGTTCCCTTTTGTGTCACCTACAGACCTTACAAATAAGAATCATCATGGAATTAACTCTTTCCCTACCCCACAAACACAAATATCCCCTGCATGAAATTCAAGACACATGTATCAGTAAAGAGGGTTGCATATAAAAGATAAGTTGTTCCTTTTATTGAAGAACAAGAATAAAACTTGTTCCCTCCCCGCTTCTCATTTCCCATCCCAGGAGCAAACTTGCACAATCTTGTGGTGTTCAGTATCCATCTTCATTTTGGAAACGAGTTCAGTAGTGCAAAGCAAATACTTGATAAGGCTCAGGTTAGAACATAACTCTTGACTTCCAGTGCTGCCATGACAATAGTATTCCTACATCCTGATGGAGCTGTTGAGATGGGATAACTGTGGGTCCATCCTATTGCCTACATCATACACACAGGAGTGAGGTTTTTTGATGATGACATGGTATAGTATGGGCTTCACCAAGTTTCATGTGTATACGGAGGTTTATTCATGTGGACCTTAGTGTAGGATTGGGATTTCAAAGACCCCCAGGTGCAGTGTTCATTGGTTAATTCATCATTCCCTGTAGCTGGGGGGGGGGGGAGTAGTCAGTTAAGAGAAGACTAACCAGAAAGACTGAAAGAATTAGTATTGCATTTCATTGCCTGTATAAAATCAAACTGAATACACTAATTCAATACAGATCAGATGGCTTAATTGCTTCCTACAGATTGAACCATGACAGACCAGATCCCCAGAGTCAGAATGGCTCTACGGAAACAAACAGAACATCAGCGGGGCAAAGTTGGCAAGGAAGAGGGGGAAACATCCCGCTCACACCCCTTCCTTACCTGCAATGCGTCTAGGATTCACTCGGATGACAAGACCCTCCAGGAGCCAGGAGAACAGGACTGGGGCCATCACTCATTCCCAGCCATACCAGAAAGACTCAGCACCTGGCCTGACCACAGTGGAGGCGCACGCTGGCGTGACCAGGATTCCTGGTTGGGAGCAGGGCTAGAGCCCCACACCAGGTCTTCTACTGGGCAGCTGGCCGGCTGATCGGAGCAGTCATTCCCTTGACAGGGATTACAAGCCCCAACTATGCGGCAGAAGAGGGTCCCAATTAGAAAAGAGAATCAGCAGGAAGCCTCAAGAAGTCCCCAGAACTGAGTCATGGCAGCAAGTGGACGACAGAGTGAGTGGAGCACAAGATGGATGAGGAGCAGCCAAGCTGCTCACCTTTTATTATATGCATTCAGGACAGACTCCTGGATATTCCAGGAGCCGGATTCGGCACCTTCAGCTATGAGGCTGGGTGCAAATACGACTTTAAAATATTGATGTTAAATGCTTACAGACCCTTCCTAAGGGTCTGAGCCATAAAGAGTATACTACATCGGAGGTTTGAGGCAGGAGTGTAGGGGCCGGAGGGGCTCCCATTCAGGCCCCTAAGGCCCACTAACTGGTCCAGAGGGTTGCAGTTGTATAAGGGACTGGAAGTCTCTGTTGGTTTTCCCTCCAATGATTAGGACTGTTCCGAGGCTGAACACCACCTCCTGTAATTTTCCCATCAAAGTCGTGGCGGTCAGAAACAGCCTCACCTTGAGGGGAATATCCCAGTGCCACCTTGTTAAGATTCAGACTAGTCCAGGTCATGGAGAGAATCTTAGCTTACCCCAGGGGGACAGCAGTGACCTGGTGACAATCACAATCATCAGCAGCAGCAAAAGGAATCATACTAGTTTAGGACCAGCATCCACATCAGCTCAATATTGAAGACTGTTTACTTTGACAGTGTGGCTTTGTCAACCATTTTGCTTCCTCGCTGTGTCTATTTCCAAGCCACACAACTTACCTCCTTCTCCAGCAGTTTGAGTCCAATGTTTTCACAGACAATTGCAAGCTCATGTTTATTGAGGTAGCCAGTGTCCCCTATGCCCAGTTCTTCCCAGATGTCCCGAACCTGATTCTCAGTCATGTCAAAGTAGGGGCTGGATGTCTGCCTCCGGCTGTTGAAGAGGTCAGGGTTCCAGCTGTTCATTTGGCCTAAAGAGACAGGAAACGCCAAGAGTTACACCACATAGCTTTCTCTAATGTGTGTAGGAGATCCACAAGAAAGAGCTCACACTTTGCTGAAAACAACAAGTCTTTCCTTCATCTTCAGCAGGATTGGGACAGGGTGTTGTTGTTAGGCCTTGGCCATTTTCAAGAGGCCTAGGCTAAGCTGCAGAAATGCTGCTAAGCAGAAAGCCCAAACCTTGTTTCTGAGCAAATGCAGTGTGAACGTTTGCAGATGTGACAACTTACTTGGTCAGCAAGTAAAGGAAGCCATTAAACACAATTAAACAAAGTGCAAGGCCTAAAAGAAGATGAGAAGACCATACATTAAATAATTCATATACTTGATATCATAGCTTTATCTTAAAGTAGTAGTAGTGGTGATTGATGTAACCAAATGCGTTAGATGTTATTTTGCCCTAATAGATATATTTTTGTTAAAATGCTTAGATAATTTGTAAAAACAACAGCTAGTCAGAGAAGACCATAAAGTAAAGGTAAAGAAGAAACAGAAACAACATCCCACAATGGGGAAGGAAAGGAAATAAAGAAACCTTCCTTCTTTCCCAAGGATATAAATCCCAACTAATTGACACCTTCCAAGTCTACAAGAGATCTGGTTTAGTCCAGTTCTAAAAGTTTCAGTGAAACAAATTTAAATAAAACCAAGCAAAGATCATTTATTAAAGCCAGCCAGCCATAAATATTGGGCATAGGCTCAAGGGAAATTTGGAGAACTCAGCAAATTCAAAAAAAACCTGCTGCCAATCTGCGTGACACCCTCCACCCACCTCTTGAGTCTCCCCAGCCAGTATAGGTGAGAATCTATGTCCTGGTGATGCAGGTAGCCAGATAGACTTTGGGAAAAAAATGTTTGTTCTCATGTTTTAAGGTGCAAGCAAATAAAAGGTTGGGCTGTAGGCCCGTTTCTGCCTCTTTCCTCAGTAGCCTACCCAGAAGATTACCTGTAATCTAGATAACAGTGCTCAAAGCGTTGGGACATTTTCAAACAAAGGGATTTTTAGGCAAAGAAAAGCTGGAACTGTTTCATTACGATACTGCAGTCCAAAAGTAAAGTTCTGTTCCTTTTTATGGAAAAACTCTTTTATAAATCTGAGAATTTCTTGACAGGAATTCTTAATATAACATCTAAGAAATAACTTTTCTGATTCAACTTGGAAAGTGGCCAAAACATATACACACATTCCCTTGCCACAGATCATACATCAAATCAGAAGTGCAAAAGTTTTTGAAGGAGCTAAGGTGGCAGGGGTGAAACTTTAGGAGTAGACTGACAAACATAGCTACAGCATCACTCAGGGATTCAGAGCTCCCTAGCTGATCAGCATGTTAACCAGTTAATCATCACATCAGTTTTCAGAAGATTAAAGACAGCTGACAGGTGAACTGAAAAAAAAATCTCAAAGCTCACTGCATGCTCCACAACTGTGCCAATAAGCAGTGTGCAAAAATGTTTTGCAAAACACTGCAAGAAATAGCTCCATAAACATGTCCTTCAGAGAAACAGAAAGAAGCATCAGATCCGCAGGTGGCATAAACAGGTTCCTATTGGCCCAAGCACAGGTCTGGACCATGAATTCCCAGCACCCTCCAAACACCAGGCAGCATTTCACATGACAGTGAGGGCTTCATACCTCGTGCCTCAAACATTTCGTTTTGGGGCTCTTTAGCACTTTCTGCTTCTTCATCTGATTTCAGGCTCTGCAAACAGAATGAATGAACGAACAATATTAAAAGGGTTGACTCAGCTCAGAGGTGCTGAGCGACTGGCCTCTATGATCAGTCACTTCCACCAGTCCTTCTGACACCCACTATCACCACAGTACATGCCATTATAGGGCCAGAACATTGGCGGTGCTTTTGTCTCCCCTGCTTTTCACCTGTGGTATGTTTCAGGGCATTTGGAGGTTCGTTTTCAGAACATAACTGGCACATGAGGGGCTGGAGTGGATGTTTCTTCAGGACACTGAATAAAGAGCCGTCTACAAATGCAGGGAATTGGACACGATGGCGCAGGAGGCCCCAGGCCATGCTGTGTTCCCCAGTTGGCCTTTAGCATAATTTGACCTTGCAGTCTCCTATCAGGGAGGGCAGAGCTACTGTCTTCATTTCGGAGGCAGACGGTGCAGACGCACCTAACAACTGAACCATTCTCAAATATCACTGGTGGGGAATGAGTTCACAACTGATGTGGATCAGGGGTACTCACAAGCACAGTGCTCTGCTGTTCCAGAGAGAACGGTCACCCTTCAGGCACTGAAGTGTTGTGGTTCCAACACCAGGGGGATTAGGTGAGGATGGAGCACCCAGCCCAGCATGCTGCACAGTGGATGGGTAGGGTGGTGGGGACAAGGAAAGGAGTGCTCACACCCATGCTTGGGGGTCCCAGAGAGTGGGAGACCTGAGACGGGGGGAGTTTTCACTTTTCTAATTCCTCTTCTCTCCTAAACATGAATTCAATAAAAACTTCAGTGGCCTGCAACTGAATGAAGAAGGCTGCAGTGTGCTTGTCTGACCTGGGTGGCATGGCGGGGAGAGCAGTAAGGAGAGAGGAGAGTGTCTGGACCTATACCTTTGGGTTCCCAGAGGCTGGAGGGGCATGAGAGGCTACAGTGGTGTAGGGAGCAAGGACACAGCTGGTTGTTAGAAAGGTAGTTTTTATTGAGCAAGCACAGCAAGGGAACTTGCTGATAAAAAGCGCTGACAAAAGAAAAAGAAAAGGAGGCAGTAGAATTCTGGCTGCGTATCAGAGCAGCTAGTTGCAGCAGTGGGTGGGGAGGAAGGTAGGGGAAAGGAAGGATGTTGAATGGGATGCCTGGAGAGCTGAATAGACTAGTATCAGGGAACACTTGGTGTCAACACAATGTTGAATTGGTGCCCTGTGAACCAGTTCAAAAGAGAGTATCTGATTTTATATGTGCACTTTTGAACCATTCTAGGTAGCTTTACATGGGTTTAACAGGCTTGTATGTCTGCCCACTTCAGGCTTAATCTTCATTTAAACCAACCTAAGGGTTACATGTGTCCACATCCAGAGGCTCTGAGGTCCAGAGCTTTGAAGATGTTTAGACACTTGGGGGCCACTATTACATGCCTAAGTTCATTTACGTGCCTAAATGCAATTCTATTCCACCCTGCTCAAGTCCTCAAAAAACTGTTAATGCAGAAAGAAGTGAGTGGATTCTCCTTCTCCTCGCTGCATTTTTGTGACTCTTCATTAAGTGTCCAACGACAGTGCATCACAATGGATTACTGGATTTTCAGGGAGTCCAGCAGGGTGGAAGGGAATTACACTAAAGCTAGGGGTACACCAGTAGAGATTTTGGGGGCTGATACTGATAGCCCATTCTTAAGGGGTCATATTTCTGATATAGCTGCGTGCAGCTAGTAAATCTGTTGTGCTGGATGGGGAGGGTGGAGGGAAGGGGCATGGGCAGGCAGATCAATGCACTGGCTGATTCTTTGGCCCTATTGCAAGACTGTTGTGAAAGAAAATAACACCTCATATTTTGAGGCTCTCTGCTTACTTCTCTCTGGTACTGGCCCACTCATGGCCTGGCTGTAGCCATAGAAGTAATCATTTCTGCAAAAGCACTGCAATACTACTGTTCAGACTCATGTCATTGGGCCTGCTTCTTGCATTAAAAGTTTTGTGGGCTGGAGAGGTGAGGAAATGCCATAGTCTGTCCTTATGCTTCTCTCTTGGTGCACTGAGCTGCTCTTGAGAACCTCATTCTGACCACAGTGAGTTGTCTCTATTGACCTATACCTATTGCCTACGTGAGTCTCCTATTGTTATGATAAGTATAGCGGAGATGTTCTCCCACAAGTCCCTGTAACAAAAGCAAATCATTATGCTGAATAAAAATGTTTACTTTTATTCA